ATACCCAAGGCAGAGTTCCCATCTTGTGTAATGGCTTTAGCTGTTAAAAGATTGTTTTTATGCCGAGCAATAGTGAATCTACTTAGAATTAATGTCCATTAGTATCTGTTCTGCTGCCCAGAGCTATGCTGAGTAAGTCTGATCCAGAATTGCACATGATATTTAGAATCATAGAGCTAGAAAGGACCTCAAGAGATCTCTTTGTCTAACCTTTTTAAGTTCTGGAAAATGATCAGAGATGCAATTCAAAACAGATTTTATGCATTTATGCATTCATTCCTCACACATTCACTGAGCATATACTATCTATCCAGCGTTCGTTTAAGGGCTGGGTTATAAAAGTGAACAAGACAAAATACTTGGGAGCTTAAATTCTTGTGCAAAAATATTTGACTGTTCTCTTTGGAACAGTTATAAGAATGGAAATATTTTCTCCTTTATTTTATCTGTATTTTTAATTAATATTTTTATGCATCCAATGACTGATTTCTTTCACAGACATTTCCCCTTTTCAGTAGTCAACAAATAGGTTTGTTTTTATTTGTTTAACTATAGCTTTCTTACTAAAAAAAATTAAAAGGCAGTGGTAATGAGTTCAGTTCTATTCTTCTTTTCCCTAAGCTATCTTCAATTCATATAACCTGTTTCTAGAACAACCTTTTTTTTAACTTTAATCACATTGATTGTCAGTTTCTCTACAAGGATTGTAACTAAACATAGTATTTAGGATTTAGTAGGATAATTTCTTCTATTATGCATGTTTTCTATCTGTGAACACATACTAGACTCACAGTGGCTTGATCACCTCTCACTATAGTGTCATTTCTAGAACACACTTATTTTATGATTGACAGTGACCCCAGTTGTTTTCAGTTTGAGCTTATCATTAGTTACTCTTTTCCTTTCTCTCGCTGTGGGGCTTTTTTTTTTTTTTTCTTTCTAATTAAACATTCTGCTTTAAGTTGGTCCTACCTTAAAAGCGACTTCCAGATCTATATTCCCAACTTTGATTACTTCCTGGAAATTTGGATCCATCCATCCAAAGGTCTCCTTGACAGTACATCACAACATGGAAGTCCAAAAAGCATCTAAACCTTGAAGTGGACCAAACAGAAACAAGCAGAAGGCTTTGCTTCTCCTGTTCTTCCCATTTCCCAATCTCAACTGCTTAACCGTAAAAATCTATGTTCATGATTTCTTTCTTTTGTTCAAGCAACCTGTATACATTCTATCACCAAATCCTATTGACTTCACCTCTAAAATTACCCTTTCCATCTCTTTCTTTCTAGACTACTGTAACGTTTATCCAGACCACTTTTCTTACATGGTCTCACAATTGTTACTCTTTCTCCTAGTTCATCTCCTTGTATCCATGTTGAGACCTGACAATCCATTCACTATAAAGAAATGAAAATTATGTTTTAAGGTTTAAATCAAATCCTATCTCTCTCATTTCAGCTGGAAACAAGGTCCTTCATGGTCTGCCCAGCCATATTTTTGATTCCATTTCCTTCTACTAATCTACTTCCCCACTAACCTAAGGCCACTGACCGTCTTTCTGTCCTTCCCACACAGCACCTTCCTTTCACACTAGATCTGCCCTCTGTTGGAAATGGCTCTCACCTGGGTCTTTGCATAGTTTAAATGTCACCTCTTAAAAGAGGACTTTCTTAGATTTTCAATACAAAGTAGCTATGCAGTCACCCTCTATCACATCACTCTGTTTTAATTGTCTTCATGACAAGTATTTATAACTCAGATTTCTTTTACAACTCATATTTTTCAACCCATTTGTCTGAATATCGTTTATCTCCTCAAGTTAGAATGTAAGTTCTGCTTAAGCTACAGCCTTCCCTTTCCTGTTCACCACTAGATCCTTTGAACAGAGGCCACCGTCAGACCAGGCACATAAGAGGTGTCAATAAATATTTGACTGAGGAAATTTATTTTATTTTGATCTTATAGTCCTGTCTTGCCACTATTTGGAGGTCCATTGGAACTTTATTTACATCTACCTCTCTGAGTACCAATTTCACTTTCAGCTGTGGACCTAATAAAGAATTCCCAATTCCTTTGTCTTGGCCATTAAGGAGCTACTGAACTGAGTGGGGGAAAGAAGGTGCATCCCTTGGGGAAACCATTCACTATCGTTACTTCAGAGCATTAAAGAAAACTCCTAGCAATCAAAAAAGACTAGCTCTCACAAATGACAGGCTGTCCAGACCCAAATTTCTGATACCTAAGAGATTAAGTTTTCTCATGTCATATTTTTGGGAGTTTGTTTAGAGAGTTTATTTTGTTTAGTTTTTAATAATTACCTCAGCTCACAATATTCATGTATTAGAAATTACTAATCTCATAAAGTCACCTGCATGGCACAGTCCTGAGTTTCCAAGTGGTATGTTGACCATAAATGAAAACCGCAGGATCCATTCCTCACCCTGGCTCTGTAGAGCTGTCCCCTTGCTTATGCTTGGAAGCATGGATTATAATGGCTTCCTTGGACTTCAGTTATTGTATATGCTAGCTTTCCCACCTGGGTTTTGGCATTTCTTAGTTTTTCTTCTGATCTCATTCTTCCTTCTAACTCATGCTTCTTCCCCTTCCATATGAAATCAGTTCATACCACAGGCCTCTTATCTCCCGCTTTTTCTTTCCATCTTGGGCGTGGCTTTTCCTTGACATCTCCATCTCAGAGCTAGAAGGCTGTAATGGCCCCTCCTTGTCTACTCTGTGGGTGTTTCGTCTTCATATTGTACATAGTAGCAATGACTGTCTTCTGCCTTGTTCTCAATGGCAGTGGTATGAAGGCTCCTCCTCCCCTGGGACGCCGGTAGCACCCACTGCTATTTACTCTGCTAGTGCTAATAATGACCTTCAGTGGTCAGGAAATTCTGAGAAGGACAGAGTCCTTCAACTCACTTTGGCTTCTTCCTATCAATACAATAATCAGTTTATCCTAAGTCACCCAAAGAGAAAACCAAACAAATGATTTCTTATCTCCTAGACTTCTCTCCTAGTTAAATGGTTAGTGGCCCCAGCATACTCGAAAACAACTATGATTATTTTAAGAACCAAGCAGGTCCATGTTAAGAAAGGTGAAGTCCATTCCCAATCACGCTCTTGTTTTCCCTTTTGAAATAAGAAACTCATTTTCAAGAAAAGCAGTTCAGATCTGCCCAATATTCTCTGGGTCAGCTTGATGGTTATGTAACCTTCAGCCTATTAAAAAAAAAAAAAAAAGTGTGAAATAACCAAGTTCTTAAAAGTCAAGACAGTATTGTTAACTGTCATCATCATGTTGAACATTAGATCCCTGGAATTCATTCCTCTTGCGTAACTGCAACTTTGAACCCTTTGACCAACGTGTCTTCATTTCTCCCTCCTGCCCCCACCCTGCCACCCCTGTTTGATCAAGACCAGCTTGATTGTGGCGATCTTTTCACAATGTATACATATATCAAAATATCAAGTTGTACACTGTAAATACGTACAATTTTTACATGTCAAAAATAACTCAATAAAATTGTTTTTAAAAAGTTAAGACATACACTGATAATTTGTGAACTCATAAAAACTTAATGTCAGACTATCTGCTTTCCTTTTTTTGTGAAGATAGACTTAGGTATACCACAAATTAAAAAAAAAAATGTTAAGAAAGTATAAGACAGAGAGAAAGAGAAAGAGCCAGAGAGGGTGAGAGAGACAAAGAAGTAAATATGTAGAGAATGGACTGAATAGGTTGACTAGTAATGGGCAGAGGGACTCCTGCATCCAGTTCATGGATGCCAGCGTAAAGCATGCTTCAAAAAAATGGATGGATTGGAAGAGTGTGGTAAATCATTCTTTATTTCTTTTGTTAATTTATTCATTTAACATTAAATAGTGCCAACTAGGTGCCCATTTTTCTGCTAGGTACTAGGAATGCAAAAATGAATAGTATGGCCTTTGACCTAAAAAAACTCACAGTTTAGTGGAAAAATCAGACCTCTATTTATTAAATATCAGGTAAGAAACATTATAATAAAGATGTATGGGTGGTGTTAAGGAGTCATTCAACAAACCAGACATACATGACCAGTGAACTCCCAAGATTATAGTTTTGAATTGGTGGATTTAGAGTCCATTAAGAAGTCATCACTCCAGCATTATAAGAGGAGAAGCCTACAGAGTTCCTACAGTTGAACTCAGAGAATCCTGAGTTATGGAGTCAGAGAAGAAATTATTAATTTAGCCAAGAAGGATCACAGGGAATGAAGCAAATGAAGCCGCCTTGGGGAAGAAGGAGGGTCAGGTACTTGATAATATCAAGAAAGGGAAAGAAGCAAGCACTCAAAATTGCCCCAGCCTCCTCCACTAGTAACCTTCCCTTTAAAGAGTTTCAGGTGCTATAACCAGAAAGGGCCGGACCTTTTCTTACCATTGGATGAAAGATGGCACAGTATTGCCCAGTTCATCTTAGACACTCAGCACTCATCTCTAAAAGCTCTGAAAGTGGCACTGGGGAGGGAAAACGATCCTAACATTCATTCTGAGCAAATAGGAAATGGCTTCTTTTAAAGTTTGATCTGAAAGACACACACCTCCCCGCCCATAGGGTACCCCCCCCGCCGCACTACTCAATTTATCTGTGTCAGAAACTCCACGGACCGGATTGATTGTGCTGTAAATTGAGCCTCCGCTTCCATTCGGAGTACTTGAAACGTGACACTCCATCCACTAAGCCCTACTTCTTGGGTTGTTTTTTGTTGTTGTTGTTGTTTGATTCTAATATGTTGAAATATTTCTGCAGCTCTGGTGCTGTCTCTGCCTGGGCCAGGAAATGCAGTTTTGATCAAATCTCATAATAATATGGGGAGATGTTGAAGATGAATGCCTATTGATAATTCAAACTGCCAGAAAGTGAGATACAGAGGAGAATTTAATAACCTGAAAAATGGTTGCAAAGGAGTGTGGTTTGGTTTTCAGCTGTCTCTTCCCTGTACTTGTTTCTAACCCAGGGTGAGTTTTGACGAGGGCCACTCCTGGGACAAGTATGGCTTCACTTCGGTTCCTCTCTTTGTTGACGGGGCTCTGGTGGAGGCAGGAGTGGAGACCCAAATCATGACGTGAGTACTTATTTTGCTGTGGCCAATAAGAGCCCGAGACCTGGGTTCTGTCTCCACTGAGGCCACGGGTTTTTCCCGGGGAACCCCAAAGCATTCCAATCTGGTCCCTAGTTTCCTCATCTGTAAAGTGGAAATATGTGTTCTTGTACCCACCAATTCAGAAGGCCACTGACAGCATCTGAGAAGCTAGGCTCTTAAGTGACCAGTTGCTTCTAACAGCATTTAAGATATTCTAACAAATTTCCATTTATTCAAAATCCAAGCAAACAGAAAGCTTCCGTCTTTAGACACGTCTTCTTTCTTTCCAAAATGGTCCAGTAGGGGGCGAGGGACAGGGACAGTCACAGGAAATAAAACAGCCAACATACTGAAATAAGAGAATATTTTAAGGGAAAATCCTGGAGTCTGTGCCACACACACACACACACACACACACCACACACAGAGTTGTCATTCTACTTCAGATTAATTTTCTGTGAACATTTTCTATGTTCCTTTACACCGAGAATAGATGATCTTAAAGTTGTAAAAATCCCCAAAGTACTTTCTGAATATTAAAGAAAATTTTAATAAGTTGGTACTAGTTTTTAAAAGTCTGCCTAATTCTAATTTCTGAAAAGCTGATCGCCTATGTGTTTTTGTGTGCACATGGATATGTAGGGGAATATGGGAGGATAGTCATGGTAACCCTCCACCAGCCAATACCACCCTCGCCTCCCGCACTTTGAAGTGACTAGAACATTGTACACCTTCATCTTCGCTGAATGGAATGAAGGGAGTTGCTCCACAATATTAAGGGAATCTACCATGTTGTGGGGTTGGCACAGATGGGGCTCACAGAATGCTTCTCTGCTGGTTTGGGGGAAGAGTGTGGTCTTCTTCCCCTAGGGAACACTGCGGTTCTTTGAAACTTTGCGTTCATGAATGTCTTTATAGTTTGAATCCGTCTTTTCCAGGATGAGACTTATGGGCTCTGAGGAAGAGGCAAATACAGGGCGAATGGCTAGTTCTGTGCTTTACTTTTTCCCGAGAGTATCAGTTAAAATAATCTGTTACAACCGCAGCTGTGCAGTTTTGTCCAAATGTCATAATCTGGCGCCCAACTGGACTACTTTGCCATGGCCCACCTCTCTACATCCATTCTCACATCCAAAGTGTTGACTGGCAAGGCCTCTGGGCTTTCCGAGTGACAGAAAATACTCAGCTGTGATGAAAACTGGTACACACATTGGGGAAGACAAAACAAATGGACAAAAATCTCATCTCAGATTTAGGGCACCTCAGATTGAGGATTCTGTACAATCCGGTAGCCGTGGCTTACCTGTCTGGTAATTCTTTTCTTCATTTCTAAGATCAAATCACTCCTTCTGCTTCTTTTTAAAATGTTGAAATCCTAAAAATCTTCACCTTTTTAGCAAATTAGCAGAAACACTGCAAGGGTCTCATGTCTACAGGACTTGTCTAGAGAAAAAGTCTAGGATTCCCAGTGTCCTCATTATTAAAAAAAAAAAAAAAAGAGATTTATAATAGAAAACCTGAGTGGTTCCACAAGAATGCCTTTAGAACATTTAGGACAAGTGTAACAAAGAGTGATTTTAAATTCTCTTCTTTAATTCTCTCTGAATTTTCTAAATTGTCAGGGAAATATTTTCTCTTAAATCTAAGGGTGGGGGCGCCTGGGTGGCTCAGTTGTTTGGGCGACTGCCTTTGGCTCTGGTCATGATCCTGGAGTTCCGGGATCGAGTCCTGCATTGGGCTGTCTGCTTGGCGGGGAGTCTGCTTCTCCCTCTGACCCTCCCGTCTCATGCTCTCTCTCTCTCTCTCTCTCACTCTCTCTCATTCTCTCTCTCTCTCTCAAATAAATAAAATCTAAAAAACAAAAACCAAACAACTCCAAGGGTGGTGAACTTGTCTTTTAAAGACTGAACACTCATTTTTGAGCATTTGATATGTTTTAGGTGCAGGGTTGGGCCCCAGAGCTCTCTGGTTGAAAATGGAAAGATAAGATATCAAACCCGAGGAAGAACTGCTCTGATCCTCCCAAGGGGTTGCATTAGTAACTGATGTCTGTAGATGTGAACCTGTGTTATGGCAAGACTTCTCTGGGCAGTTCTGTTGTAAAATGTGAGCAAGCATTTCCCGTAGAATTTGTTGCTCAGGATGTAAGGCTATAATTTGAGTTTTGTCCAGTAATTTCTTCCCATTTTCCTAAAGTAACCCCTCCACAGAATTGTCTCACCAACCACATTTCTAATTAAAGTTCCTAAACAAATAGACTCTTATTGTTAAGCTGAAAAATTGCTTTATTAAGAGTTAACAATGTTGTGTGCAAGTGTTGTAAAAGCATAAACAGTATTTAAGATACAGCATATTATCATTAATGCTTTGAGTCTAAAGCTTCATCATTTGGTGGATACACAGCAATAGTGTGTGTGTAGCCTAAGTTCTAGATGTTTAAAGCAAGTATTATAATATAAATATTATTTCTAAAATACAAATGATTTGGTAAATATATAGATATACATATATCACAAATATGTATATGCAAGTGTATGTGTGGACGGTTGCATACACACATATACATGTATGTATATACAGAGAGGGATAGGTCACAGAGATACACTGAGAGAGAAATCCCAAGGATTTAGGGTCCTGGCAAGACCTTTGTAAGGTTATACTATAAAAAAATAATAATAATAAAAGTTAAAAAAATTGTTGGGACCTATGTGGTGGAGACTGTTCTAGATGGGCAAATCAGAAATTCCTGTCTTCATAAAGTTTGCGTGCTTGTGCATTAAATAAATGTGACATACAAATGACTCTGTCATTTTACCCAGAATACTCTGCCAGGAGATTAAGATGTTTTCTTACAGATTCTGGGAAGCATGTGAAATACTGGGTATACGACCATCTTTGTTCATGAGGATCTCTGACGTGCGCTAACTTTTGCAGATTATGTCCTATCCTTCACTTAGTCACTAGCTATAAAAAGAAAACCTTCCACTTTTCTAGGACTTCCTCTGATACGGCCATCAAGGAGTTAAAGTATTGAATTCTAAATTCCATAAGGCAAAGGTACACACGTTCAAGAAGGTTGTATAGTTTGCCTGAATTTATTAAACCAGATGTGGCTCCTCATCACAGTCAAACCTGACATGGTCCTCGAATCTTGGGCAGTGAAGATATATATGGTTCTAAAATCAGGTGCTCCTTGCTTTTGTATGAAGGACACATACTGGTCCCTCTTCTTTTTAGCTTTCTCCTCATCCCATAATGTGATTTATTCTGCATTTTCTTGTATGGGCCCTCTTTAAGCTCATTGCATGCTTCTCTTGGGCATTATTTTGAACAATGTCCCGTGTACACCAAACTCTACATGACTGAGCATTCCCTAGCAAGTCTAAGGCTACAGTTTAAATTCTGTGTTCATCTAATCCTAAATGGTAATAACTTTTTTCTCAGCTTCAGATGGAGTTTAGCTGGTCACTTGGATACGAGGGAGCTTGACCTCAGGGCCAAACCATTTATTGAAAAGACGAGATAGCACTCCTGTTTTCCTTTCCTCCCCACTAAGACTCCGCAAGAGTGGCAAAGCTTCTGCCCCCTTCTACCTTCTTTAGCAAGATACTTTAAATGCTAGTAAGTAGAAAAGGAACAAGGTAGAGCACAGTTTTCTTACATGGGATTTGGGACAGACAGGTATTTGTTCTTTCATGAAATTAAGATGAGTTTGGAAGCAGTTGTCCAACCAAGTATAAGCAATTCAGGCTGCCTGTTTTTAACTTTTTATTAAATTCAGAGTTTCTCTAGTATGAAAACGATCCAGATGTTGGCAGGGCTGTTTAGACAGCCACAAGTGTGAGCCCTGGAAAGATGGCCAAGAGGAAATTTCTGTCTCTGCCTTAGGTTTGAAAACAACTTTAAAATCAGGTGACCCAAAAGGCCAGCCAGAGCTTTTCCCTCATGGAATGACAATGACATGGATTGAAGTAGGAGTTCAAAAATCTTGATATATCCCCTAAGCACTGTGAGGGCAAGGGGCCCATTTGGGGATAAGCGGGCTTACTCTTGCCGTTTAACCAAAAACTCACTCATCATGTAGGCTATTTGATGCTGTATTTTTCTCCTCACGGTTAACCCTGATTCTAGCTCAGCTGTGGTCAGAGAGGAAGAAAGGCTAGCTCATTCTCACTAAGGTTTTATTGGCTTCTCTTGTTACCTTCATTTGGTGGATTTAAATATTTATCAGTTTAGGATAGTTAATTTTATACGTCAGCTTGTCGGGGCCACAGGGTACCTAGATATTTGATTAAACATTATTCTGCTTGTTTCTGTGAGGTTGTTTTTATTTATTTATTTTTTATTAACATATAATGTATTATTTGTTTCAGGGGTACAGGTCTGTGATTCATCAGTTTTACACAATTCACAGCGCTCGCCGTAGTACTTACCCTCCCCAGTGTGTTTTTGGATAAGACTAACATTTAAATCGGGGTGCCTGGATGGCTCAGTCATTAAGCGTCTGCCTTTGGCTCAGGTTTTAATCCCAGGGTCCTGGGATCGAGCCCCACTTCGGGCTCCCTGCTCTGTGGGAAGCCTGCTTCTCCCTTTCACACTCCCCCTGTTTTTGTTCCCTCTCTCGCTATGTCTCTCTCTGTCAAATGAATAAATAAAATCTTAAAAAAAAATAGATTAACATTTAAATTGGGAGACCTCATAAAGCAGATTGCCCTCCCTAATGGAGGTGGGGCTTATCCCATCAGTTAGAAATATGAATAGAACAGAAAGGCTGACCTTCCCATGAGCAAGAGAGAATTCCCCCTGCCTGCCTGCCTTTGAACAGGGGCATGCCTTTTCCTGGCATTTAACTCCAACTAAAGAAATCCACTCTTCTTGGGTTTCAAGCCTACAACTACTCTATCAGCTCTCCTGGGTTTCTGGCTTGCTGACTCATCTCACAGATCTTGGGACTTGTCAGCCTCCATAATTGTGTAAGCCAA